CATCTGTCTGGGGAGAGCACAAGGGAGGGGTATCCTGTCCCTGAGAAGTTGGTCCACAGCCTGGTCGGCCGAGGGTGTCCTCCGGTTCGAGTCCTGTTCTGTTTCTTGAAGGGGCCCCTTTACTAAGAACCAAGCCCTGTCCACTCACTCACTCAGAGTATGAACTATCATCGGGTTCACAAAGTCACAGTAACTGGTTTTTAATTGTTTCCCCCTTTTTGGCAAAACCATTCCAAGCACCAGATTCGCTGTTTAGGAATTTTGCAAAGTTGGCTCTTTGCTCAGGTAGCTCCAAATACTGCTTCGAGTAGCACAGATACCGATTTCTTTCCTTTTCTTTTTTCTTTTGGTTTTCTCGTTGCTGTTCTTTACACTTTTGACAGGATCCTAGTAACTTGGATGTCAGGTCTCCTGGGTCAGAAGTTCGTTTTCTGTTAAAGAATGTATCTTCCCAATCCCATCTTGCTTTTGCTCACGCCTCAATCTGGCACCTGTTTCTCTAGTGACAGGATGAAACCTGACCGCTCAAGGCTATGCTTACACTTAGAACTTACCAGTGTTAGAGGTTTTTTACATCCAGCTAATACAGCACAAACATTCCATGTGTGATCTGGAAGAACTACGGCACCAGATGTCATGGGATTGGTTCTCAGTCAGCAATCAGACTTGTCATCAAAGACGACGGTTCATCAAGTTTCTCGTGATTCGTGACAGACAGCAACTCCATGCCGACAGCCTGGACTGGGACAAGGACCGCGCAGCAGGTGTCCTGCCAGAGCTGAGGCTGGAGCCCCGTGGCACACACGCTTACCCAGAAGTCAAGCCAGAGCCTCACCAGAAGCGCACGTAGCGCTAACACAGTCTGTAGCTGCCAGGACCAGGGCAGCTGGTTGCCAGCACACAACCCAAGCCAACGTGATGGGGTAGGGTGGGGTGGGCAGGCTGGGAGGCTCTTGTTTTGCAGTGCCGGCAAGGGGAGGGCCGGCGAGGGGAGGGCAGGGGGGCGGGAGGCGGAACTCACGGTCTACTGCCCGCTCCCCCAGTCACCCCGAGGCCTCACTAGTTACTGTGCTTTCTCTGTCTCTGGAAAACCATTTTTCTGTTTACCCCAGCTGAGCAATTCCTTTATTTACTTACGGAGCTACTTTACTATAGTTTGGGTCTTTAAATTTAAAAAAAAAAATTTTTTTTAAGATTTTTTTTTTTTTATTCATTTATTTGACAAAGATCACAAGCAGGCAGAGAGGCAGGCAGAGAGAGAGGAAGGGAAGCAGGCTCCCTGCTGAGCAGAGAGCCCGATGCGGGGCTCGATCCCAGGACCCTGAGCTGAAGGCAGAGGCTTAACCCACAGAGCCACCCAGGCGCCCCTAGTTTGGGTCTTTAAAACAAACAAACAAACAAACAAACAAACAAACACTAAGACGACTAACACTTGCCAAACATTCAGAACGTGCAACCTCGCTCTCTCAAGGGGGTACGTGCCCCACGCCCAAACTGATTGCCTTCCATGTGGACTCTGCAGACCCGCACTGGCCAGACCAGTTATTTGCAGGGTGTAGAGGTCTGACCCCAGGGTCAGGAAGAGGGTCCCACCACCCCACGGGAAGCTGACTGCCTGTGGATACAGGCTGCGGTCCTGAGCCAAGGGGCTCCACTGCGGTTCAGACAAGGCTGCAAGACGGATGTTCCTCTACTGTGAGGATGGTACACATAACGAGACAGGACGTTCAGATCTCCCTCGATGAAGCTGATGTGCGTCAGGGATTGGAGATACTGTACAAGCAAAGACAATCAAATCTACTACTTACTCAGAGTTTAGGACCCACCACCTAAATCTGTAACTATTTTCACCAATCTAAGGGCTCTATTTTGGGGACCATGAGAAAGTGCTCTGGAGAGATGTAACCGCAGGCTGTTCTGAAAGACGGGGAAGTCCCTCTCAGTTTCTCCATGGGTGACCTGTCTTCTGCAGACACACCATCACACACCACCGTCAGCGTGGACGGTCTGCCCAGGGGGTGGGGGGGCACAGAACATCAGGTTCGAAGAAGGACCTCTGTACTTCCAAAGTCCCCAGTGCCAGACTGACCTTCCCCTCAAACCTGCAGACCAGTTGTGACCATACCCACCCTTTGCTTCCTTCTCATTACATACTTGTTCCACTGGAAGACCATGAAGAAGCCAAAAAGTTTTAAACATATTAGTCGCTAAAAACAACAAAGAAGAGTTTAAAGAAAGAATATATTTAAGCCACATAAACAAACAAAAAGGTATTACATAAGAAAAAATAATGTAACAATTTATGTAAGTACCTAACATACGAGCATGCTCTTACATCTAAAACAAAAAATAAAAAGGTGATACGGGTACTATATATATATATTTGACAAGTGTGCATTAAAGAGTTCTCTAATATAAAACATTTAAATTGTGTTGAATACTTTTCATGATACAGAAAACAACTGTTAAAATAGGCACACCCAACAATTCTTATAAAAATATGCTTGCCGACAATAAAATTCATCTGAGCACTCCTGTCTTAGATATCCAAAACCTACGGAGCTGTCAACCACTGGGTACCACCTCCCACTTTTGCACCATGGGTTTCAGCACTGACTGGTATGAATTATGAGCTAGCATTAATTAGGGTTATTTTTTAATGTTTCTGCCATTTTCCCTCAGAATGCATCTATTTACTGTGAATACTTAAAACAACAATAATGTCTGTATATAAAGTCACTTCCTTAATGTTCTTTCTTCCTTTTCTAAAAAAGGCACTGTATTTAGAAACAGCTACGACTGCAGGCAGTGCTTTGGAGAATCTCAAACTCCCGATCAGTATGCTCCACCAATGTCAGTACATCTAAGAAGCCCTAACTGAAAAGAACACAAGATGTAAAAAGCTGATAAAATGAAAGGTTATAAAACTGGTTTATTGTAAAAGCAATTCAAGAATACCCAGTTAAAATCTTACCCCGATGCTACCCAGTACAACCAAGAAGCAGTTACACACGTTAACATTAGGAACAAGGACACAGAACAAGACAGACCACATTCAGGCTGTGATTCAAATCAGAAAGAGGAAGGACTGCTACGTGTCCTTCAGGTGAGTGGAGGGTGCGGTCGGGGTCCCCAGCACCTCAAGGACACTGCGGGATGACTGGGAAAGCCAGAGTCTGGGGGACAGGAAGAACCCTGGGTCCCCGCTCCGTGGGCACACTAAAGTGTTGGAACTCAGAGGAACAATGGCCTTCAGTGACAGCGAGACGCAAGCCAAGTCTTTACAGGGAAAAAGTGGAGCTTATCAAGTTCTCTATCGAGGTCCCACAAGTCCTTGCCACCCCTCCCACGTCCCCAGCCGCCCGAGGCTACAGCTACTCTGCTGAGGCTGAAGACACGATCTCAGCCGGAGGCTTCCTGGCCCACGGCAGGCACCCCCTCCACGCAGCTCCCACCTCTGCACGAGGAAACCAACACCTGCTGGACGGTCCCTACACTCACTTATGCATTCTGGGTACAATTTCATTATTGCTCTTTAAAAAAAAAAAAAAGTCAAGGAATCTCCACAGTGGCCATTTCCCCTCAGAGTTAATTCAAGATTTACTCTTTCTGCTGATTTCCTAACAAAAAGTCGTAGAGTCAATAGTAACGAATGATCGACCTATGAGTCATTATATACAACAGTCAATTCAGTTTTGAGCACTGAAAGTACTTAAGATAAAACTTCTCACTCCCAACTTTTGTAGTCCTCTCCACCGAAGGGCCGAAATACTTAGATTTTTGTAATTAAAAAAAAAAAAAAAAAAAAAAAACTGCCCAAGAAGAGAACTCTCAAACCCGAGGCTTTTCATAGCAGTTTTAGCCAAGAAAAAAGATTTTCTTATGTCAGTTATAAACCCTTGAAAATAAGGGCTTATTCCAGAAATACTGAAAGACCCTCAATCCCAGAGGTGCTCGCTGGTACCACTATGACTCACGGCCGACTAGTCCCTTCATAGCTTATACTGAAGAGTTGATTCCTGCTCATTTTGTTCCTTTAAAAAATACTCTTTGGAAACCATTATTATTCCTCCTGTAGACATACTCTAGTTATAGCTCTTCCTGTAAAAATAAAAGTATAATCATGATTATCTCTATTTCTTTGCTAAATTCAACTACTGATATACATTTGTTAATGTGATCACCTCACCAGCTAACTCAGCACCTCGACAGGATCCTATATGCTGTCCAGGGTCAGTTCTCACCATGTGCAAGTAGGAGCGCGTCTTTTTTAAGTAACAACAATCTTGTAGGCAATATTTCAATGCACTCCTCAATATGTTTGTTACAATCAAGAACTGAGAGACTAGAACTGACTTCCAAAACTAGGGCAAAGGTCAATTTTCAGAGCTAAAGAAAGGTAAACCACATGTAAAGCTTACTTCTGTCATGTACATTACGAACTTACGTAGTGATTTCCCATCAAGGCTCAAAATTAGTCCAAGGGAGTGTCAAGGGGAAAATACAGCCTTATCTTGTTTGCTTCTTTCAAATTCATTAGACAACACCGTGTGTCCAGTGAGCACATGGTCCTCTAGACGCTCTCCGTGACAACAGCCCTTTCTAGAACACTAAACTACCTCTAATGTCCGCACACTGCCCCGACAGATTTAACCACCAGTGCGGTACGACCACTACTCACATATTCTAAACGCACACATTCAAAACTACTGTGTTAAAATAACCTGGAAAGTAGGGAAACCTTAAAAAAAAAAAAAAAAGATACATTCTGCTATCACACTATCATAAACATTATAAGTGTGTGTGTGGGTATATATAGAGCGGATAATCAAGATTTAAATAAGATGGTAAAAAATCAGGAAATGTAGATTTTAATAGTCGCCCCCCAGCTACAACTACAGAGTTGCTACTATGATAATTTGTCTAGATTCTGGAAAAAAAACAAAAACTAAAACAAAAAACAAAAAAGACACAGCCCAACCAATCAAAACAAAAACAAACCCAGAATAAAACCCAGCAAAACCTATACTAGAGTATGTGGCAATAATTAATACATTTCTACGGAAACTGTCTTATGCCTTATAAGCTCCTAAAATAAAATCAAGGTCACTACGTGACTAATGATAGCACGAGGAGGGAAAAACACTGAAAGTGAAGCGGTCCCCAGCCTTGGTTTCAGCGAGCTCATCGATCAGCACCAAGCACTGAGCGGTGGTGCAACCACTCTGGCTTGACTGACCGGTAAGTCATGTTTTCCCACCGACCAAAGACCACTGGACAGACAACCGCCCGCACAAATGAAATGCTGTGACGTGACGCATCTGACTCCCAAGTCCACGTGTTTGCTCGACACGACGGGCGAACACCAAACTGGGCGAAAGGCATGGCATCCGTCATCCAAACAGGCTCACTGCCCCCAGCCCCCCAAACGAACAGTAGTTATAATAGCAAAAGAAACCAAAAACGTGTTTTTTGATTCTTTAGAGCCAACTATGAAAGAGGTCAGCAATATATCAACAGCAGCAACGGACAAGAAGAGCGAAACAACAGATCGAAGAATCCTGCTGGACGTCTATTCCTCTTCTCCGGCGTGAGCCCAGAGACTGCGACTGGCTTACTGGGGAACCTCTCCTTGGATCCTTCACAGATGTGGCATTCGGTCTACCTGCGGGCTCTACAACCACGTGAGAAAGCTTTCCTTATCGAGCTTGGTGGCGGCGAGCACAGACTCCATGTCGCTGAGGATGTCAGAGCTCAGGGCCTCCTGCAGGCTGGGCATCAACTCCTCCCCTTCCATGCTCATCCCATCGCCCTCCAGCGTGCCAAGGTCCACGTTTGTCCCCGGAAGGGCTTCTAGGTAGTCTGGGAAACGGCTCTGCTGGGGGGGGCACGGTACTTTGGTTGATAGTGTCGCCTGGTGGGGACAGAGAAAAGAGAATAAGGTCCCTTTCAAAAGCTACCATCAGAGCTCTACTGTGAGAGCACTCGGAAATGCAGAAAGAGAGAAAAGCTCTCCCCACTGACCTCCTGAGCCAACGCCCAGAGTTTACTTCAGGCTGAACAACTTGCAGAAGACACAATAATGCCAAGGTAGCTTTTGCTTTAACATTTATTCAGATCCTGAAGCAACGGCACAAGACGCTTATTACTAGATACTCGGCACTAAAGGGGCTCGTGAAAGAAATGAACGTCCCGCGACACTTTCCTTCCAGCAAGGACACTGCCCAAGAGCACCACTGTGGAGCCCCCCCCCCCCCCCCCGGCCCTGAGATCGAATATCAGCAGGGCTACACACCCTCTTCCCTTGACACCACCCTGGGGACCACTAACGTCAAGACTCCGGATGAGAGCTGCATCCCAGCCACAGAACAAGCCTCCCTGAGGTCTGGGACTAGCCACGCTCGCTAGCCCTCCTCCCAGAGTCCCCCGCAAGCCTGACGGGACACGCTCCTGAACACGACAGCACCACACTCCTTCTAGCTTCAACCGACAAACCTGTGAGAGCCACAGCGGTTCAGGGAACAGAGCCATGGGGGGACAGGAGCAAAGACAGCGTGTGGGGAAGAGCCAGGTGTGCAGGGGCACCTGCAGGGGAGGGAAGATCTAGGGAAGCGAAGAGGAGGGGCTGCTGAGCACTCGAGCAAGCAGCAAAGCCATGAGCCGGAGGAGCATGAGCAGAGACGACACGGCCGGCGCTCCGAGAAGCTGTGGGTCAGAGAGCTGGCCAGTCAGGGCTCAGCGGGTGAGCCCCAAGGAGCCCGCTCCAAGTCCCCTGCCCTCCTGAGCCCCCAACACCCACACTGGGCCAGAAAGCTCAGGGGAGAGGCCGCGGACACCGAACCCACACAGGTCCGTGACCACAAGCGTGGAGAGGGCCCTCCACCACCCTGCAGGCCAGCCCAGGGTCCTAAGTGCTGCAGGAAGTCGTGTCGTCAGTGCTGTTCGAAGGGAGCGATGCTGCCCACATTTAAAATCTGGGAAAACACTTTCACTGTAAACTACATATATAGAAACAGAGCAGGCTCGATCGGAATGAACTTTATGGGGTCGTGACGGGTTTTCTTCCCAACAAGCTTGGCTCCCAGACATGGCTACCATGGCTATGTCACTGAAGACGGCCCACCAGGACCAGCGGAGGACCCCCACTGCCCACCTGTGTCCATCTCGTCAACGCTGTTCAAGAAGTCGTCTGGGGTCCGAGGCACGCTGTAGCTGCTCATGCTCAGCCCGCTGTCTGTGCTCTCCTCCCTCGAGTGGTAGGTGCCACTGCAAAACAGGAGCGTCAAAGACCAGCATTTTCTAGGGTTCCAAGGTCATGGTGGACAGCTCAGTGCACACCACAAGCATCCACCCCCTTCACCAGGACTCAGACCTGGCCCTTGGCAGGGAGAGGGGGGCAGCCTGAAGGGGCCCCAATCTCCCCTCCGGTGCTGGCTCTGGTGGCAAGAGAAGAAAAATGATAGGCTGGCAGCCTTCCCAGTGGACAGAAAGTTCTCTGTGTGGGCATTCTCTCTGTGATGCCGTTTGAAGCTGGGGGAGCCACACGGCCCGCGCATTTCAAGATCTTGATTTCCCAGTGGTGCTCCACAGGCCGGGGGCGGGTGGGGTGGGGGAGCACGGGCAGAGTTCAAGCCAAGGAACAATCAACCCCAATCAAAGAACCAAAAGTCCCAGGGGCGCCTGGGTGGCTCGGTGGGTTAAGCCTCTGCCTTCAGCTCAGGTCATGATCTCAGGGTTCTGGGATCGAGCCCCGAGTCGGGCTCTCTGCTCAGCAGGGAGCCTGCTTCCTTCATTTCTTTCTCTGCCTGCCTCTCTGCCTACTTGTGATCTCTGTCAAATAAATAAGGGAGGAGTTGCTGCCCATGAACAAGAAGTCCCCTGGGGTGCTTGGGTGACTCAGTCAGGTAAGCGGCAAGTCCTGATCTCGGGGTCCTGAGATTGAGCCCCGTGATGAAAGTTGAAACCTCAAAGGCCTAGACTTCTTCCCTAATGACCTGAAGGAGTGGCTCTGTCCTCCCTCCCCTCATGGTTACACTGAAACCCCTACATTACTCTCAGGCTTCTGCCAGATTTTGGCAAGAGTTGGAAGCCTCACAATGACCCAGGAAAACACGAATGTGCCCCTAAGACCACTTGGACACAACAGTGCTGCTTTGGAGGCCTCAGGATGTGGTCTGTCTTCCTCCTGCCAGAGCCCTGAGATGGGACAGGGCCTGGTTGCCACTCCCGCCTCACAGCGTAGGGCTTGCCCCGGCCACGGCAGACCCTGGTGTGGAGCTCTGTCCACACCACAGGATGAGCACAGGGGTCACTTCCCTGCCTACTCATCCCCCAGACATGCGGGACAGAAACCAGCCCAGACTCTGGGGACAGAGGCAACAACTACACAAACCTGTATTTGATGGTTTCTGAGATACGCGTACCGTCGAGGAGCAGCTAACGTGTACATTCACGAATTGCACCCAAGCAGTGTGTGAGCAAAGGGCTCTGAAAACCGAGAGGGGAGCTCGGAAGAGGCTGGTGCAAGGCGACACTGGACCTGATGATGAGGGCTCTCGGGGTAAAGGGGGGGTGCTGCAGCAGGGCTGAAAGCCAGCTTGGTGACAAGTGGGGTAACAAGTGTGTGGGGCCCACGGGTCATGTATGAACTTAGTAGCAGGCAACGGCAACGGGGAAACCGTCAAGTTTCTTTTTCTTCTTCTTCTTTTTAAAGATTTTATTTATTTATTTGACAGAGATCACAAGTAGGCAGAGAGGCAGGCAGAGAGAGAGGGGGAAGCAGGCTCCCCGCTGAGCAGAGAGCCCGATGCGGGGCTCGATCCCAGGACCCTGAGATCATGACCTGAGCTGAAGGCAGAGGCTTTAACCCACTGAGCCACCCAGGAGCCCCAGAAATTTCATTTTCTAAATCATGAAGTTTTCAATTCACTTGGTGAGAAGTTTAAGTGTAGTATAATAACTTTCTTAAACCAAAGTGCCTTTGAACGTTTTTTAAAAGTGCTTAAACTGGTTTTTAAAAACCTAAAAGGACAAAGACAAGAAAGTATTTGCTCCATATTTTAAAAACTGAAACTCCACCAATATTTTACAACCTGAAAGGATGAACCATCATCAAACCTTAGTTTTAAGTGTTTTCCAGGAAAGGGCCGTCAGCCCGCAGCCTCCAGCCCAGCTCCGCACGGGACAGCACGACCTCGCTCTGCTCAAACGCGAGGTCTGTGTGAACTCGCTGAAAGGCATCTGCAAGCAAATCCTGCCCGTGGCGGGGGCGTTTCGGAAGGAGGCGAGGCCTTCCATCTCATGGCCCTGAGCAACAGCCCTTGAGGTGGGGAGGCTGTAGGCCGCTGCCCAGTGGGGAGGGGAGGGGGTGCCCGGACGCTGGCCTCAGGGAGCTTGAGGACGAGACTTCCATGGAAGGCACCCACGTGCCCCTTCAGGACTGCGTGATGTGAACTCACCAGAAGAAGACACGTGACAGGGAACGTGTCACGTGTCCTACCCCAGGAGCCGGCTCTGAAGCCCAGAGCTCGGTGGGACTCACCGTTTGCCGAGAAGGTCATTTTCAACATGGGGCGTGGCCCCCACGGCCACCCCACGGGTGTGCCCAGCACTGAGGGGCGCGCGGGCAACTATGGCCTTTCTCAGACACTGGCCGGGGCAGCTCCCACCCACCTGTTTAGAAAGGGGTCCGAGCCGCTGGTGGTCATTGTTCTCAGTTCCTGAGACATCCCAGGGGAAGGCACCGGGTTTGGAGTCCCGCCATCCTGCTCCAGTGTCGGTAACTGGCTACGGAGAGCTAATTCCTAGGAAAAACCAACACACACACAATCAGCCTACCGGTGACAAATTCACTGTTCGATGTACAGAAACAAAATGCCGCTGGCATTTAAGGGCGCGGGGCTCAGGCGTCCAGCACCTGTCAAAGCTAACATGCTACCTGCCCGGAAAGACCACTGCTTCTACTGTTCAGTCACACACATTCGAGGTTTATCGTGAACGATCCCAGATCCTTACGTCTTTACGAACCCTACACTTGCATGACCTGACTTCACGGTGTTACTCCTCTTACCTCGCAGACCCTCCCAAACCCATCCCACGGGGCGGGATGGCAAGTGTGGTCTTTCAGAAAAGAATGCTTCTTAACACTTTATTTCTACTCACCAACCCTCACCTGATCCTGGGTTCAGCACATGCACTCAAAGCCAAGTGGGAGGACCAACACCAGACACTGACTATGGCCACCAGCACACCCACCGCTGTACATGGGCTGTCGCCTGTCCCCAGCGACCTCTGCTGTCTGCAGCTGCACTCAGAGCCTCCAACGGTCCCTCAGCAGGACTCCACTTGGACTGCCTGGCGAAGCCGGGGGCCCACTACCGCCCCAATGCTTCCAGAGGGCCTGCCTGATCGGGCGTGCCGATGGCCCCGGCCTCAGCCGCCAGGGTGGCAGGACCTGGAAGCTGGGTCCCCTCCCTCCAACCATCCTGACCCCCTTCCTTGCTACTCCGTCCTCGCTCACCTCCTTCTCAGCCCACGCTCCCGGACGACTCCTGCCAGGCCTCTCACCATCCCACGAAGGTCTGTCTGCAGGAGCACAGGCTCCCTCTCCCCTGGCTTTTCTGGTTTGACTTAAATGTGGCTTTTTATTGCTCAGGAAACTGGCGGCTACTCACAGAGGCATGCCCAAGGCACACCCACTAAGGAGACAGCCCAGCTCTGCGCCCTCACCCCTTCCCCAGGAGCTCTGCCTCTGCAGAAACCTCTGCTTTTTACTCAGGTTTATGCCTGCTGAATACACCATTCTTTACGCAGGATTTCTTAATCAGAGGATCGAGATCAAATGCAGAGGGTCCACGAACTTGGGTGATTAAGATTCACCTTCATTCTCAGTAACTTCTTTCTGACATTCAGCATTCCCTTCAAACACAAATACAGACGACCAACAGGTGAATTTCTCTCCCTCTGACTTCCCATCCATGGTCAGCATTTTCGTATCCTGTCGTAGTTGCAGTATCTGGAAATACCACTTACGTTCACGACCACTTCAGTATCACGGTAGCTGTCAGACATGCCGGTAGACACTGTCACCTACACGTTAATTACTAGGTGAAGGGTTCACTCAACGTGACAGCTCCTTGCCCTTCTGGGTCCTAGTGACCTTCACCTCCACCCACCTGAACCCCTGACTTGGCCGGCTGAGACCATGGGGCTTCAGTCTGGACGGAGACCCCTGTGCGCACAGCCCACCACACTGGCCACCGCGGTGCCAAGCCCACACGACTAGCTGCCACCGACGGTGCTGCGTCTGCACATGGCGTCACGGGCGGCTTCAGCAACACTCTGGCACGGGCTCCACGCTGTCCCCCTCAGGAACCTTGCACATGCCCATCCCACTTTCTGGGACACTGTTCTCTCCTGCCCGGTTCCCGCATGAGCACAGTCCCATTCTGCCGGCCCTGTAACCTGAGGGACTCAGTACTGTCTTCTTTCTCCTCCTGGTCGATTAGCTTTTTTTTTTTTTTCCATTAAAAAAACATTGAGGGGACACCTGGGCAGCTCAGTTGGTGAAGGTCTGCCTTTGGCTCAGGTCAGGATCCTAGGGTTCTGGGATCGAGTCCCACATCGGGCTCCCTGCTCAGCGAGGAGCCTGCTTCTCCCTCTCTCTGTGCCCCTCCCCCTGCTCGTGCTCTCTCTCAAGTAAATAAAATCTTTTCAAAAAAATTAAATACATTGAGGCATGAGCAACACACACGACTGCGTTAGTTCCCCACAGGACAACACAAGGACTCGTGTTTGCGCACGCTGAGCAGTGACCGCCACGACCATCCGTCCATCACCACAGTTAAACAGAATTGTTTTTCTTAGAATGAGGACTTACAAGATTTATTCTCTCAGCAACTTTTAAATTTGCATTTATTATGCCTTATTAACCACAGCTAATAATTACAGTTCATTATTAATTACAGTCACCATGCTGTATGTTACATCACCAGGACTTATTTTATAATTTGTGGTCGTCTGAACCTTTTGATCCCGCTCCCGCACGCCCCTAGCCACCACTCATCTGTCCTCTTTGTTGACAGGCTTGGTTTTTTGTTTTTTTAGGTGCCACTTGTAAGTGATGTAACATGGTACTTGTCTTTCTGTGACTTATCTGCCTTAGCATGAGGCCCTGAAGGTCACCCGCATTGTCACAAACAGAAAGACACAAACAGCCAGGCACAGCTTCATCCGTTCACGCACCGATGGACACGGGCTGGTAAGTGACCAACAGCTAAGCGGGCACTGAGGTCGCCGCCACATCTGGGTCACTGTAAATGCTGCAGCCGACAGAGAGGGGTGTGTATCTTTTTGAATTAGTGGTTTTTGTTTTCTTCAAATAACTCCCCAGAGGTGGAACTGCAGGGTCATAGGGTAGCTCTGTATTCAACGTGGAGGACTCTCCACACTGTTCTCCAGACAGGGCTGCGCCTCTGCTCCCCTCCCTCCGCATCCTGCCGACACCTGCTTCCTGTGTCACGTTGTTAGCCATTCTGACAGGTGTGAGGGAGTATCTCGTGGGGTTTTTTTCCTTAAGATTTTATTTACAGGGGCGCCTGGGTGGCTCAGTGGGTTAAGCCTCTGCCTTCAGCTCAGGTCACGATCTCAGGGTCTTGGGATCCAGCCCCGCATCAGGCTCTCTGCTCAGCAGGGAGTTTGCTTCTCCCCACGCCCTGCCTGCCTCTCTGCCTACTTGTGATCTCTGTCAAATAAATAAATAAATAAAATCTTTAATTAAAAAAAAAAAAAACCTTAAAAAAAAAGATTTTATTTACATATTAGAGAGAGAGAGAGCGAGCAAGCACAAGCAGGGGGAGCAACAGTGGCAGGAAGAGAAGCAGGCTCCCTGCTGAGCAGGGAGCCCGACGCGGGACTCGATCCCAGGACCCCGAGATCACGACCTGAGCCACCTCATCCCGGTTCTGGTTATTATTTCCCTGATGATGAGGAACGCTGAGCGTCTCTGGATGGGCCAGTTCCTGGTCTCTTTCTCCGTCCCTAGGAGCCTGACCTCTGAGCGGATCATGTGAAGTACACATGAGCACCTCTCACGTCCTGAAATACGCACATAACTTTATCTCAACAGAGCAAACTGCCACCTTGAACCAACGTTAGGAAAGTGCTCCCTTCATTTGTATCCCGAGACTGCTAAGAAATGCTGGAGAAAAATCAAACAGCCACCCACACTGTTACTACAAATCAATGGTCTTTGGCCTCGAATGGGTGCTCAGTACCACTCTGGGTTTTCTTCTTTCTGTCCTCTGGGCAGTGTTTCCTCTCATCTTCAGGGCTACCGCCCCTCATCAGGCGCATGCTCTCAAGCCCGTTCTCACCTCGCTCCCATTTCAGTCAGAACACGGAGGCGAGCGAGGAGTCTGGTTTTCTGGCTCCTGCCATCCGCTTTCTCCCCGCAAAGCTACCTTCAGTCACACCCGTCTCTGTAACTTCTCAGAAAACAGGGGTTTCTCCCCTCTTCCTGCTAAAGCCAACCAGCTCTGCGGTGGCTTCTGGGGACTCCCGTCATGCGTCTTCTCTCCAGCCGCTCCTGGACCAACCCCACTTCCACGTTCTCCAGCACAGGGCGTGTGCCCTCCCCACGGGCCTGCGGGAGGACCTTCCACATGCACTTTCTGACGAGAACACGTCTTTCTTCCTTCCTTCCTATTTCAGACTCCGTTCCCTCCCCCAGGTAACTCTCCGTGAGGATTTTACCAGGCTTGAGCATGTATGGAACACACGCTTAGCACTCATCACACGATACTGTAATGATTTCTTTCTTCTCTGTCCCTGAAGGGCACACCAAATGAATGACTGGACGGTTTGGGAGCAAAGCAGAGTGATGCTCGAAGAATTTACGTTGCTATTATAACATGAGGGGTAAACAGAATAGACATGATAACGATCGAAGCCCGGGCTCCAATGAACCAGAGGCTGCAGGTCTCCTGAACTCTGGGAGCGTCTGCAGGCACCGTCCAAGAGCCCCGTTCATGCCCCACTCCCATCAAAGGCTCCCACCTGTTTCTGCAGAGCGAGCACAGGACAGGACACTGGCTAGTAAGTTGTTACTAAAATAACCGATAAGCTGGTTATTATTTTTACAATGTTTTTTTATAAATTTTTATTTTTCTCTTCTTGATAAAATTCCCACGTTTTTGAGATTATCTTTTAAAGTTAAAGCTAACTGTCAGGTGCTACTTTGGATTTTGACACTTTGCTTGTTCCAAGCTGCCCAATTTTTCCTTGTTGCTATCTTTGGCAAATGAATTTCTGTCGGCACGCAGCACAGAACCCACTATCCAGACTCACAAAGGACATTAATTTGGAGATTCCCGAGGACCACAAAGGCCTGGAGACAAACTTATCAAAGCTGTGTCTGAGCCATGACGAAGAGTCATCTAGGGACTCATCTAACGTGAGCCTGAAAGGGTCAAGGAGAAAACGTCATTTTATTCCACTGGTGCTAGTGGGAGGCCGTCAGGGTGATCAACCAAACAGGGACCAACCTGGCATGCAAACGAATAGGACGTGAGAAGGCCACTGACACGTCTACACAGGCTGTAGAAACCGTATCAAGGTATGAATACTCAGCTCAGTTCTGAAACTTCTAGTTACACCAAAAAGAATACGACTGATACAACCCCCTAAGTAATTTCTGAACAGCTAGGTATAATAACTTATCCACATATTATCCCCAAATGGATACTTTCTTAATACAGCTCAGCATTTGAAGACAAAATTGCCGTAATTAAAGTTGACTTGTAGC